ATTCCATGTTCATGGATAGGAAGATTGAATTTGTCAAGATATTGTTCTTCCCAACTGAGCTATAAATTTAGTGCAGTCCCAAATTCCCAGCAAGACTTTTTGTAGATATTGACAAACTGATTCTAAAGTTTATATGGAGAAGCAAAAGACCCAGAATAGCCAACTCAATATTAAAGGAGAAGAACAAAGTCAGAGGACCTACACTACCCACTTTCAAGTCTTATTTTTAAGCTACATTAATCAAGACAGAGTGGTATTGGCAAAAGAATAGACAAATAGATCAATGGAACAGAATAGAGAGCCCAGAAATAGACCCACATAAATACAGTCAACTGATCTTTGACAAAGGAGCAAAGGCAGTACAATGAGAAGGTAGTCTTCTCAGAATGGTACTAGAACAACTGAACATCCACATGCAAGACAGTGAATCTAGATACAGACCTTGCAGCCTTCAAAAAACTAACTTGAAATGGATCATAGACCTAAATGTAAAACACAAAACTATAAAAGTCCTAAAAGGTAACATAGGAGAAAACCTAGATGACCTTGGTATAGCAATTACTTTATGGATACAACACTTTTAAGGCATGATCCATGAAAGAAAGAATTGATAAACTGGACTTCATTAAAATAAAAAACTTTTGTTCAGTGACAGATAATACCAAGAGAATGAGAAGACAAAACACAGACTGGGAGAAAATGTTGCAAAATACACATCTGATAAAGGACTAAACTCTTAGAACTCAACAATAAGAAAACAAATGGGATTACATCAAACTAAAAAGCTATTGCACAGCAAAGGAACAAAACAAAAAGGCAACCTGCTTACTGGGAGAGAAATATTTGCAGAGCATATATCTGACAAGGGGCTAATATCTAAAATATAAAGAATTCATAAAACTCAATTCATAAAACAAAACAAAAACCCAATCTGATTAAAAATGGCAAAAGATCTGAGGAGATGTTTTTCCAAAGAAGACATACAGTGGCCAACAGGCACATGAAAATATTCTCAACATCACTAATCATCAGGGAAATGCAAATCAAGACCATAGTGAGATATCACCTCACACCTGTCAGAATGGCTATTATCAAAAAAACAGTAAATAAAAGTTGGTGAGCATGTGGAGAAGGAAAACTCTCATGAACTGTTGATGGGAATGTAAATTGGTACAGCCATTATGGAAAATAGTATGGAGGTGCCTCAAAAAATTAAAAATAGAACTACCATACAATCCAGTAATTCTACTTCTGTAAGTTATCCAAAGAAATTAAAAATACTAATTTGAAAAGATATACACATCCCCATGTTCATTGCAGCACTATTTAGCATAAGCAAGATATGAAAGCAATGTAAGTGTCCATAGCTAGATGAATGGATAAAGAAATGTGGTACTTATTAATAGTGAAATAGTAATCAGCCATAAAAAAATGAAATCGTGCCATTTGCAACAACATGGATGGACTTAGAGGGGATCATGCTAAGTGAAATAAGTCAGACAGAGAAAGACAAATACCATATGATTTCACTTATACGTGGAATCTAAAAAACAAACTAAACAAAACAAAGTCAGACTGATAGATACAGAAAACAGACTGATGTTTGCCAGGGGAGAAGTGGATAGGAGTTGGGCAAAATGAGTGAAGGAGATCAAGAGGTATAAGCTTCCAGTTACAAAAAAAAATAAGGTACAGGGGTGTAATGTACAATGGGAGAAATATAGACAATAATATTGTATTAACTTTGTATGGTGACAGGTGGTAATTAGACTTATTATGGTGACCATTTCATAATGTATATAAATGTCAAATCACTATGTTGCACACCTGAAACTAATATAATATTGTATGTCAATTATACAATTTAAAAAATGCACCCTACTGTAAACTATGGACTGATAAATATGGGTGATAATGATGTATCAATCCATGTTCATCAGTTGTAACAAATGCACTCAGTCGGGGATGTTGATATTAGGGTGGGTTGTAAGTTTGTGGGGGGGAACAAGATATATGGGAACTCTGTACTTTTTGCTCAACTTTGCTGTGAACTTAAAACTACTCTTTAAAAATAAAGTTTTTATTTATTAAAAAAATTTACATAAAAAGAATCAAGCACGTATGGCACTGGAGATGCAGGGCATGTGAGGGGAGGAACTGTCCAGCAGTTAGGAAAAAGAGAATGTAAAGCAAGGGATGATGTGGACATGGTGACTGGTGAGACTGCCCTGACATTGCAACGCCAAGTCTGATATGCAATGAAGACTTCAGAGTATGACTCTGGGTCAGAGAGGAGAAGGCTCCTTCTTAGCACAAGGTCCGAAAATTACATCTCATTGTAAACCCAGTGAGGACTCTTGGTAAGGCATTGACCCATGCTGTGCAAGACAGGATTGTTACAGGTACTTTGTGTCATCACACGTGGGGAAGGGAAACCAGAAAGAACAAATGCCAGGTGGGTATTTGGCTTTGGGAAGGACCTCCCAAAGCCAGAGTCCGTCCTCCCATCTCCTCTCCTTGTTCATCTTCCGACACTGGGGTTCCCCTGCTGCTGAGCCATAGTGGGGGAGCAGGACAGAATACGTACGACTGACAATCCTGCCAGAGGCAATGGAGATGTCCAAAGCCTAAGAGAAGGTTGCTACAGTGGAAGGAAACCACAGATCAGGGAAAGAGAGGAGGTAGGGACGTTAAAAGCAGCATTGTCAGATTTACAAATACAAATACAGGTAGCCCTATTAAATTTGAATTCCAAATAAACCACAAATAATTTTTTTGTATCAGAATGTCCCATGAAATATTAGGTACATCCACTTAAAAAGTATTCATTGTTTTTCTGAAATTCTAATTTAACTGCATGTTCTATATTTTATCTGGGGACCTGGTCAAAACAGCTGCAGCACTGGGCATGTAGAAAAGGGCGTCCTGAGAAAGAAAGAAGGTGTCTGTGGGGCACACTCTCTCCTGGCTGGGAAGGAAAGGTCTCTTGGTGAATGGTGCAGTTAGATCAAGGGAACAGCTGCAAAAAAGGGCCCTTTTCCTCACCCCACATCAATACTGATATAATTTTTATAAATCTTTACCTATTGACATGATAATATCACATTGCATTAATTTATGTGGGTTTTTTTGCTAGTGAAGTCAAAGTTTATTTTTCATAGAAAAGAATCACTTAATATTTTTTCTTTTGTGAATTGCCTGTCCATGCTATTTGTTCACTTTTCTACTGATATGTTTGCCTTTTTACTGCTTTGTTAAGAGTTCTTTGTGTATTAAGCACATTCTGGTTTTGCCATATATGGTGTTAAGGTCTTTCAGTTTGTTATTTGTGTACCTGTCTAACTTCCCCTACTAACTTCAGTCCCTGTGGGGAGAGACATCTCTGGATCCCCTGCACTCAGTGGTCTCTCTTCTGTTGTAGGGGCCCAACAAATATGCTGGGATAAATGCTTGAATTACTTTTGTGCAACCTACTTTGTAAAAATCATTCTGCCACACCCTGCAAGAGGAAGGGGGTCAACTGAATACACATACTCCCCTTACTCAAAGCACTGTCCAAGTTTTCTTGTTGTTTCCTTCATTCATTCGACAAGTACTTACTGAGCACCTTTTTATGTGCCAGTGAACTGTCCCAGCTGCTAGGGATACTGCCATGAGCAAGCTCTTTCATTGTAGTGAGGGACACAGATAATAAACAAATAAAATAAAGTGTAAAAAAAAAAAAATAAAGTGTATATTATGTTGGGTTGTGATCAAAATCAAAGCAGAGGCGGGTGTTCGGGAGACTCACTGAGAAGGTGAAGGAGGCAGAGGAGTTAGCCGAGTGGATATCCGCAAGAGAAGCATTCTAAGCAGACTGAGCAACGTGTGCAAAAGTCAGGAGCATGCATCCAAGAAACAGCAGTTGGTGTGGCTAGAGTGCAGGCCGCACATTATAATGAAGCTGGCAGAGGGGTGTATGTAGGTCATGTACAGCTTCATAGGCCATTGTAGGAACTTTGCTTTTTCTCTGACTGAAATGGGAGGGAGCAAAGGAGTGGCACGGTCTGCCTTATGTTATAAAAAGACAGCTCTGGCTAATGTCCCGGGACTGGACTGGGGATTGGAGGCAAAGGTAGAAACAGGGAGACTTGTTAGGAGGCTATTAGTAATCCAGGTGAGGTGATGGCAGCTTGCACCAGGGTGAGAACAGTGCAGATGGTGAGGAGAGGTCAGATTCTAGGCATATTTTGATGACAGAAGTGCCAACAGAATTTTCTGATGAATTAGATATAAAATGTGAAAGAAATAGAGGAACAAAGAGTGGTCCCAAGGATTTTTCCCTGAGCAGCTCAAAGACGCACTTGACATTAACTGAGCTGAGGAAGATACAGGCAGAGCAGGTTTAGAGGAAAAGGTTAAGACTCTGATTTTGGAAGTGTTGAATATGAAGTATCTCTTAAATCAAGTGGAGAAGGCAGATATATACATTAATGATAATTATATATGACAGGTGGGATTTTAGAAATTTTTTCTTCCTCTCCTCCTCTTCCCATTTCTTTCTATCCTTCTTTCTTCCTTCCTTTCTTTTTTTGCCCCTTGTTCCTTTGAATTTTTAAATATTTAAAGATCATAAGCAACTTTTACTCTTACAAAAGAAAAATTAACCACATTAATTAAAAACAGTAAAAAGAAGACTTATGAGCTGGGCAGGGAGGAATAATTGTATTATAGATTTTCTTATGAAACTGCTTATGTCCAGAATTTGAAATTCAAGTCAATTCAGCAAACATTCTCTGTGATTCCACTACAGGCTGGTAGGTTCAGGGAACACTGAGATAAACAAATACGGCATGTGCTCTGAAGGAGCGCATGGTTCAACAGGTTCTGGGGCCGGCCCCAGTGGATGCTGTAATTAAAGTCCAGCAAGAACCGGGCAAGCATGAGGCAGGGAGGTAGCAGTGAGGACGCACAAAATCCCTGTATCATAGAAATGTCAAAAAACATACAGGCCACACAGGTAACCTCTGTGCCACATGGAGTGTGATTTTAATGTAGGATGGAAGTGCACAGAAGGTGATGGATAGGCAATCAGGCCACTCTTCCTGAAACGCGGTACATGTGCTGAGGGAAGTCCTGCCACTCCCCCCTCCCCCCCCCACACGCACACTCAGGCATATGTGAGCCAGGGTCCTGCTGCCATGGCTGGGTAAGGGCTTAGACTAGCTGACCTCCATGGGAACCTTCCAGGTACATCTCAGCACAGGAAAGTGGCTCCAGCCTGTGGTGGGCCCAGGCCATAGGCATTAGGCATTAGGGCCCAGACCTAATGTTCTTTAGCCCCTCCTGACGCACAGCAGGAAGACTTGGGTGGAAGGCATGTGGGCGTGCAGTTCGTGGTGGAGCTGGAGGGCAAAAGGAGCAGGTGATACTTCCAGCCTGTCTGGCCCACAGGCTCACCAGGCCATGAAGAGGAAGAGACAGCAGGAGGGAATTTAGGAGGAGGCCAGCAACACTTCCTGAGCTTTGCATAGGCTGCGAATGGGCTAGGTGCTTCGTGCACATTATGTCATTTAAACCTCACAGTAACCTTATAAAGCCAGTAGTATTAGCCTCATTTTATAAGGGAGGAAAGCAATATGGAGTAACTTACCCAAGATAACAGTTAGAAACTGGAATTCATACCCAGATCTATCTGGCTCCAAAGCTAGTTGATTGACTCCTGAGCATTACACAGTGGCCAGTGCCTAACAAGAACTGATGCCCAACACCCACAAGGCCTGATTCCTGCACCTCAGTTCCTGACCTCCTATCTCCCTGACTTCTTTCTGACCTCTGGAATAGTTTCCAGTCTGCAGAGCTTGGATCTGACAACCCTAGCTTCCCTGAATTCACAGTTGCTACTTAAATGATCATGTGCACTGAGTACTTGTTATTTACGTGGCTCTCCCACTTCAAAACCTCCATGTCATGTTCGTGGAACTTCTTACTAAGGGAGTCCTGATGGGTCCCCTTCCACTAGGAGAAAACATCAAGGGCACAGATATTCTCTCTTCCCATCTTCTGTCAGCAAGATTTGGGCACAAGCGCTAGGCTGAGCTGACCCATTCTAACCTTCCAGTGATTCACACCATCCCCAGAAGACCCTGACCCCTGAACTCTACCACTGGAAGCTTTCTCCAATGATAAAGGTTTTAGGAGAATTTTCACAACTTATTGTACAAACATATCCCAGTCTTGGTCCCCATCTTGGTCCCCATCTAGGGTGTATATCTATGGTGGTTGTTGTTTTTCCTGCCTAGCATCCCTATTTCCTTTGGGGCCTGTCCTTCCTATTCCATGTGGCTCAGGTTGAGCTGTCAGTCCTGGTGGCTCTTGCCAGCCAATGAGATTAGCCCTTCCCAAGTAGAGGAAAGTGCCCTGTGAATCTAGGGCTGCCTTAGACACCTTTCCTTACATATGGACAGAGACTCTGAAGAACAAAGGTAACAGAGCTAAGAGAGGGAAAGAAAGAGAAAGATCCCAATGATCATGTTTGAGCTACTGGATCTAGCCATACCTGAAGTTGGACCTGCCACTTGTAGATTTCTCAGGAAAACCTACCCTTTTCTGTGTAAGCCATAATGAATTTGTGCCACTTGCAAACAAAAGTCTTGCCCACCCACCCAGGAGACTGAAGGCCTGCTCTTCCTAGGGCCTGAGGAAATTGGGGTGCAGGAAATAATTTTTGACATAGCAGAAAGGGGAATTCAGAGCTCAGGGAAAACAGACAGAAGCAAAACCAGATAAACATTCTAGATTTGGCTCCTAACATTCCATAAGGAACAAGAAAGACCCTTCCCAAGTGCAGCAGCTGCTCCTCTGTATCCTGCAGATCTTCCCCAGAGTCTGCAAGAGCCTTTCACTTTCCTCTACTCCCCTGACCCAGCAAGTACCCACTCACCTGCTGCATTAGGCTCTCTGCCTCCTCTGGGTCAGTGAGGTCTTCTGAGGAGGCCACACTCAGCCGCAGGAGGAGGAAGCCTCCATCCCTACCTGCAAATTGACAGTAGGAATATGAAAATACGGGTAAGTCAGCTCAGGAACCAAAATGAGTACTTCGCAGCCTCTGTCCACTATCCACATAAATGTGCACACTCTTATGTATGAAAGTGTCTGTGCTCACATAGGACCTTACAGTTATCCAATGCAAAGAGAAAGAGGATTTCCTCTCTCCCATAGTTGGGCCCACTGTAGTGTCTTCCCAGCAAGAGTGAAGGAAATGATGGCTGAAGTCCTCCCCCACTTCTGGAGAAGTCAAAATAGGGTGAGGAAGGAGAAATGAAAGTGGTCTAGAATGTTCTCAAGGCCTGGAGGTCCTGGATGGAGCTGCTAGGAAAGGGCCCAGCTGGGGAGAAGGTTGGAGACAGGCTGGCTCTCTGAGGGGATGCTCTCAGCCAATTCTTCCAGCTCTAAGTTGGTGGAGGTCTTTTAATTCAACCTTCCTGACTTAGCAGCTCTAAGGGCAAGTTCTGGCTGCTGGACTCTGCCTGCCACCTTGTAGTCATTTCATCCTATCAGAATACCGTTAGAATTAATCCAGCAATTGTACTTTTAGAAATTTATTCTACAGAAAAAAGCACGTAAAAAATATACTATTTACTGCAGCACTGTTTGTCACAACAAAATACTGGAAACCAAAGTGCTCATCCATAGAGGACTGGTTAAATGAATTATGGCAAAGCAAAATGGAATACTGAGCAGTCATAAAAAAGAATAGCTTTATCTCAGAGATCTGTGTTTTTCATACACTCCACTTGCATAAAAAGAAGGATGAAGACTACAATTTCCATATTTCATGTCCAGAAGAGGACTCACAAGAAAATGATCATGGGCTGTGTGTATGGGTAAAACTGGGTGATTGGGTGACAGTGGTGGGAAGAAGATATTTTATGGTGTACCCTTTTGTACCTATTGAATTTTAAACTGTGTGGATGTATCAGCTAATCAACCAATAACAAAAAAAGAGCATTTAAAGTAAAAACATATTAATAAATTCAGCTTTTAAAAACAAAAGCATGATAGCAGACTGTGAGTTTTGGAATCAGACACTTTCACTTGGAATCCCACTGCCGTCTTTTAACTGTGTTTAAGTCTGTTTCCTCACCTGTCAGATGAGGTAATAATACCCACTTTATAAGGCAGTTTTGAAGGTTTAATTAGAGGACATAATATATGCAAAGCTTATAGTACACTGCCTGGTGTCAGAGAAAACAATCAGCTGGTGCCAAAGCTCACTGTTTGTGAAGCATTTTTCTATCACCTTTGACTGGAATATAAAAGATGTTCGGTAAGGAGGCTATGATGAATATATTTATTTTGCCTCCCCAGAGATGAAATAAAAGAAGATACCCAAGAATGAGGCACGAGGACAGAGTGATAGGAGGTGGAAGGGGAGGCTGCAGGCTGACCAGGCAGCCCCTGACTAGGGATTCCTGCCCTGAGTAGAAGTTGCGTCTCAGAGATGGAGCTTTAAACTCCCAGACCTCTGCCCAATTTATTTATTTAAGTCACCGTCTTTGGCACCAACCCCAGCAAGTACATCCAGTGAGCCCCACTTCCATGAGGTCCAGCTGCTCAGAGGGCAGCAGCGTGGGCCTGATGCCCATCCAGTGCTGCTCCTTGGGGCAGCACTGGCTGGAGCGGAGTGTCTTCTGCATATGATTGGGCTTTGCGTGGTTCACAGTAGTTACTCAACCATTGACTTCATAGAAAGGCAAAGCTGGAAAGGACCTCATTGCTCATCCATTGCAACCTTCTCCAGCTACTGGTGGAGAAACTGAGGCCCAGAGAGGGAGAGGGACCTGTCCTAGGCCCCAAGGTTATTAATGGCAGAGCCATAATCTCTAACCATTTCTCCAGTTTTCCAGCCCCACACTCTTCCTGTGCATCACCCTAGCTCGTCTGGTTACTGATTTTGGCAGGAACCACTAGATCATGAAGAGGTGCATCAGAGATAGGGCTCAAAATAGGCCCCAGATCCTTCCTTCTTCCCTACTCCTTAAGCATGTAGACATCCTGGAGACACCAAGCCCCAAACCCCAAAGATCACACATGGGGGGACCACCCACCTGCGGTGACTTCTGTGGCCCACCTTGTCCGAGCAGTGGGGGGCATGGCTGGTGGAGGCTTCCCTCTGGCTGTGCTGGCTGTCTTCAAGATCTTGGCTGAGGCTGTGGTCTTGGCTAAGGCAATGTTTGTTTCTCTGCTGCCATTGGCTATAGTCAGATGGACAGAAGGAAGAGGGCTCCTGCTGAAGGGGATGGGCCCGGGGCTTGTGCTGCCTGTGGTAGAAGCCTCCAGGGGGCTGTTCTCGGCAGTGGCGACCTCTGAGAGGTTGCAGACCATGGCTGAGGGCAGAGCAGGGGAAGCTGTTTCATCCCCTGTTGCCTGAGCCTCTGTGGAGACTGTAACTGCTCCTGAGAGTACGGTGTGGCTCACCTCAGCAGGGAGGGCTGAGGTCTCTCCCAAGGGGTTCATGCTAACTGTCACCAAAGCTCCACTGGGGGCAGTGGCCTTGGCTGCTGCTGTTTCTCCTTCTGTAGTGCTCTTAGTGGGTCCTGGGGTCTCAACTGTGGTGTCAGGAGTGGCTGATTCTGTGGTGCCAGCAGCTGACAAGGTCTCAGCAGAGGCTGTGGGCTCTGTGAGGTGGGATTTTGCATCAGTGGAGTCAGGCAAAGTTGACGTCTCAGGGATGGACAGGACCTTTCCTCCTGGGGGGCTGTGATCTATGTCTGAGGTCCCAGGGGTGGTAGTGGTTGTTTCTATTTCTAAAATGCTGCAGTTGGTGACCTCGATGTCAGTGAGGGAGTAGGCAGCCCAGGCGTGAGCCAGAGCTGTGACGTCAGGCACCAGGGCCAGCGGGGTGCTGGTGGCTGGGACGGAGCCGTCAGAGGTGCTGCTCCCCAAGGCCAGCACCCCAGCCTCTGCAGAGATGCGAGCCAATGCCAGGACGTCAATTGTGATCCTATTTGCCTCTTCAGAGCTGTCATCAATACAAAGGATGTTAAAGGCGAGATCACTGCCTGTGGCGGACTTGGCTGTGGTTCCAGATCCTGTGGGGCTGCCACTTGTGGCTGACGTTTCTGTGGGAGTGGTGATCACAGCCACGAACTTGGAAGGTATTATTTTGGTGAGGGTCCTGATCTCTGCTGCAGGAAAAATGGTCTTGGTTCCCCTTGTTTCTACTTGTGAAATGGTACTGGTTGGGATTAAAGTCCTAGCAGAGGTGTGGGTGCTCAAGGCCTGCGTTTCCAAAGTGATGTGGCTGGGCACAGAGGCCTCAGTGAGGCTGGTGATCTGGAAGGCTCCCTCTGAGCCAGTCCCGAGCCGTCGAGTCGCAGCCGGCGCTTCAGCGTGGTTCCCTGCCACCGCAGAACCTGGTCGGCTGGTGCTGGAGCCTGTGGTGGGTAAGACCAACTCTGTGAGCCATAGGCCCCAGGGCACTGACTTCACACAAGCTCTGACTGTATGCCCTGGCGGAGGTATAGCATTGAAAAGGCCAGGTCCCCGTGGCAGCCACAGACCTGCGGCCACCTGACTGAGCCCTCTGACAGCCCACGTGAGGCAAGCAAGCCCCAGAATCTAGATGATGATTAGTCTGAAGCCATCAGAGAGAACGAGTTGGGCCAGGACTCAGCTTCAGGGAGGAGTAGAGAAGGCAGAAGTCCAAGGCAGCTGGCACAGAGCGGGAACACAACTCAGACTTTCTAAAAGAACCCCTGTCATTCTTCCCTTGATACTGTTCTTACCAGCAAATGTTTCCCCTTCACACACAAGAAGCACCTGTGGCTTGTCTGAGAGGTAGCTGGGAGGAGAGGGGCAGAGGAAACTCCAGGGACGACATGGGTAGCGGCTGCTGGCAAAGGAGAGGGGCAGGCAGAGGCCTTGGAGCTCCAGACAGGGAAAAGGCAAGCCACCCATCCCTGCTCAAGCCTCTCCTGAACACGGCCTGAGGCGACAGGGCTGCAACTCCAGAACTACAGAGACGCTGTACCAGGCCTGTCCACAGGAAACAGGGAGCCCTGTTCTGTCCTGCAGTGAGACAGCCTCATGCTTCTCGAACCCATAACCTCCTCATCTCCAGGGCTCTCCAGTCTCTCCAGTCTCTCCCACAGCAACAGCAAATGGAGCAAAGCCCAGCCCAGCCCTCTACAGCTCTAGAATGTTCTAGAGCTCTTCTGGTTCCACTCCTCAGATCAAACTAATGGAGAGGAAGGCGTGTGTACTTTGGACCCTGAGTTTGAGTCCCCTCTCTGCCACTCTCTCTGCTGCTCACCGAGTGTGTGATGCTGCCAAGCCTTAATTTTCTCATCTGTGAAATGGAGCTCAAGGCACCCACTTCCTAGGGTTGTGCAGATTAAATTAAAAGTAAAATGTGCAGCACAAGCCTGGTAGGTCATGAGCACATGCAGGAGTGACATGGTCCAGTGGTTAAGCACGTGTGGAGTGAAATCCTGGCTCTGCAGAGAAGTTTCTTAACCCTGGTGAGTCTTGGCCTCCTCACCTTTAATGGGTAAGAATAAGAATCAGATCTCTCAGAAGGTTACTGTGAGGACTGAAAAAAAGTGCATGAGGGTGTATCAGATAGCTCTCTACCTTCCTCTCAATTTTGCTGTGAAACTAAAACTGTTCTAAAAAAACTAAGTCTTCTAAAAACAAGATAATGCGTGATAACGATGTGTCAATGAAGGTTCATGGGTTGTAACTCTCACACCACCCTGGCAGGATGTTGATCTTGGGGGAGATGTGTTGTGGGGGCAGAAGGTATGTGGGAATCTCTGTACTTTCTGCTCAGTTTTGCTGCGAACCTAAAACTACTCTAAAAATAAAGTCTAGTTTTTAAAAAAGAAAATACATGTAACCAGCTCGGCCCCATTCCTATTACAGATCAATATTAGTTCTCTTTTGTAAAAGCCCTAACTCTCAGAATCCACCCTCCCAAAGAAGTCTTGTGACAGTCAGACATGAGACACACAAACTGTTCTTCAAGGAAATCTGTGCTAGTAAATAAACTTGGAGGAGTTAGAATCTTGCCAAGCCACATTCCTTGGTTTCAGTCAGATTTATAAGCAGGCAGCACCTCTCTGGCCCCCCAGGAGCATTTATATGGACCAAGGCATCATATATGCTTAAGTTGACACATTGCCATTTACATACGTTTATCAACAATAGTAATACCTCACAGACAGCTTTAGGGTTAGTTATTATTAACCCAAGAGAGCTATCCTCACCCACAAAGTCTGCCGGTTCAGAAACTCTTATCCAGAGCCCTGTGCTGAAAGAAGTCCCTGGGTCCCCTCTTGTCTCCTTACCTGCAGATGCCGCAGCCTCCCAGCAGAAGAAGAAAAGGGGCAGAGTCAGCTCCCAGAAGGAGCCCATCCTAGCTGAGGCTCCGGCCACCATTGCCCAGCAGACCTGCCCACTGCCTGTCACTGCCACCTTTTCCTGCTTCCTCGACTCAGGGAGGAGGGCAGGCTCCCTGCCTAGGTGTGACTGGTAGTTTCCAGGGTGCAGCCAGGTGATGACAAATGCACAGGCTGAGAGCTGGCAGGTTGCACATCAAGGACATATCAAGGGCTGTTGGCAAATGCCCACCCCCTTGCCCAGTGACCTCTCCTCTCTGAAGTTTGATTTGAAGATACGGAATCATTTCCACAGGGATATCTACCCCTTTGGTCCTGCAGCCAGGGACGCCATGGGAGATGGTGTCTGACATATACATCCCCCTTCCCGCAACCCTTCTCCCCTACCCCATCCCTCGTGCATGGGACTTGGGCTTTTTGTTAGACCTGGGTTTCATTCCTAACTGTAGACTTCATTAGTTCTATGATAAAGGGCAAATTAAAGAACTTTCTGAATCACAACTTCTTGATCTCTAAAATGGGCACAAACCCTGCCTCACTGGGTACTTTTGTCAAATTACATGAGATAATAAAGCTCTTACACAATGCCTGCTATATACTTGGTGCTCACTGAAAACATATACATCTTAGGTGCTCAATAAATATGTGAGAACCCTGATATCCAGTCCAGTCCTCCAGCCAAAGAGAGATGGGGCAGCCCCCCGAGGTCTGGAGTAGACATCTCTCCAGTGTGGGGCAGGACTGTGATCTCGAACATCTTTCCATCTTCCCATCCTTCTTGTCTACTTCACAGCCAGAGCTAGGACCATGTCCCTGGCCAGACTGGCATGCGAGATGGGGGAGGCACTAGCTGGGAGACGGGAAGAAAGGGTGAACTTGCTGGGTCTGGGAGGAGGGAAATGTGGGGGTGATGAGCTAGGGAAGCTTAGAAGATTTGCCACAAGAAAGGAAGAATATGTTTCCAAATGTCCTTCTCAGATCAAACTAATGGAGAGGAAGGCGTGTGTACTTTGGACCCTGAGTTTGAGTCCCCTCTCTGCCACTCTCTCTGCTGCTCACCGAGTGTGTGATGCTGCCAAGCCTTAATTTTCTCATCTGTGAAATGGAGCTCAAGGCACCCACTTCCTAGGGTTGTGCAGATTAAATTAAAAGTAAAATGTGCAGCACAAGCCTGGTAGGTCATGAGCACATGCAGGAGTGACATGGTCCAGTGGTTAAGCACGTGTGGAGTGAAATCCTGGCTCTGCAGAGAAGTTTCTTAACCCTGGTGAGTCTTGGCCTCCTCACCTTTAATGGGTAAGAATAAGAATCAGATCTCTCAGAAGGTTACTGTGAGGACTGAAAAAAAGTGCATGAGGGTGTATCAGATAGCTCTCTACCTTCCTCTCAATTTTGCTGTGAAACTAAAACTGTTCTAAAAAAACTAAGTCTTCTAAAAACAAGATAATGCGTGATAACGATGTGTCAATGAAGGTTCATGGGTTGTAACTCTCACACCACCCTGGCAGGATGTTGATCTTGGGGGAGATGTGTTGTGGGGGCAGAAGGTATGTGGGAATCTCTGTACTTTCTGCTCAGTTTTGCTGCGAACCTAAAACTACTCTAAAAATAAAGTCTAGTTTTTAAAAAAGAAAATACATGTAACCAGCTCGGCCCCATTCCTATTACAGATCAATATTAGTTCTCTTTTGTAAAAGCCCTAACTCTCAGAATCCACCCTCCCAAAGAAGTCTTGTGACAGTCAGACATGAGACACACAAACTGTTCTTCAAGGAAATCTGTGCTAGTAAATAAACTTGGAGGAGTTAGAATCTTGCCAAGCCACATTCCTTGGTTTCAGTCAGATTTATAAGCAGGCAGCACCTCTCTGGCCCCCCAGGAGCATTTATATGGACCAAGGCATCATATATGCTTAAGTTGACACATTGCCATTTACATACGTTTATCAACAATAGTAATACCTCACAGACAGCTTTAGGGTTAGTTATTATTAACCCAAGAGAGCTATCCTCACCCACAAAGTCTGCCGGTTCAGAAACTCTTATCCAGAGCCCTGTGCTGAAAGAAGTCCCTGGGTCCCCTCTTGTCTCCTTACCTGCAGATGCCGCAGCCTCCCAGCAGAAGAAGAAAAGGGGCAGAGTCAGCTCCCAGAAGGAGCCCATCCTAGCTGAGGCTCCGGCCACCATTGCCCAGCAGACCTGCCCACTGCCTGTCACTGCCACCTTTTCCTGCTTCCTCGACTCAGGGAGGAGGGCAGGCTCCCTGCCTAGGTGTGACTGGTAGTTTCCAGGGTGCAGCCAGGTGATGACAAATGCACAGGCTGAGAGCTGGCAGGTTGCACATCAAGGACATATCAAGGGCTGTTGGCAAATGCCCACCCCCTTGCCCAGTGACCTCTCCTCTCTGAAGTTTGATTTGAAGATACGGAATCATTTCCACAGGGATATCTACCCCTTTGGTCCTGCAGCCAGGGACGCCATGGGAGATGGTGTCTGACATATACATCCCCCTTCCCGCAACCCTTCTCCCCTACCCCATCCCTCGTGCATGGGACTTGGGCTTTTTGTTAGACCTGGGTTTCATTCCTAACTGTAGACTTCATTAGTTCTATGATAAAGGGCAAATTAAAGAACTTTCTGAATCACAACTTCTTGATCTCTAAAATGGGCACAAACCCTGCCTCACTGGGTACTTTTGTCAAATTACATGAGATAATAAAGCTCTTACACAATGCCTGCTATATACTTGGTGCTCACTGAAAACATATACATCTTAGGTGCTCAATAAATATGTGAGAACCCTGATATCCAGTCCAGTCCTCCAGCCAAAGAGAGATGGGGCAGCCCCCCGAGGTCTGGAGTAGACATCTCTCCAGTGTGGGGCAGGACTGTGATCTCGAACATCTTTCCATCTTCCCATCCTTCTTGTCTACTTCACAGCCAGAGCTAGGACCATGTCCCTGGCCAGACTGGCATGCGAGATGGGGGAGGCACTAGCTGGGAGACGGGAAGAAAGGGTGAACTTGCTGGGTCTGGGAGGAGGGAAATGTGGGGGTGATGAGCTAGGGAAGCTTAGAAGATTTGCCACAAGAAAGGAAGAATATGTTTCCAAATGTCCTAGAGAATTCTACCCCTCAGGGGGCCAAGGACCCCTCCTGTTACAGCACAGCCAGAGGCCAGGCGAGGTACACTGGGGGTTCAGGGCAGAAGTTTTGCAATGCAAGCAGCTCTAGTACAGAGGATTGTGTCCCTGATGGACCCCTTCAACCTCTTCTCCTCAGGCTTCCTCTATGTTTATATATATTCTTAAGCTGCATCATATATGCTTAAGCTCACACATTTCTTCTGTATCTGGAGGAATTTCCAAGCCTGGGCACATAACTCTTCAGATCTTGCTAGATGGGCATCAAGGAATCACAAAATCTCATGGCTGGAAAGAATTTTAGATCAGAATCAGAAGGGCTAGTTCTGTTTCCAGCTCCTTCCTTAATAGTGGTCCAGGAACTGTGTGACCTTGGACAAGCTATTTGCTTTTTCTGGGCCTCTGTCAATAAGGGCTTCCAGGTTCTCTTGGACATTCAGTCTGTTTCTACACTGGTGGGACTGCCTTCTAGAACTTCACCCTACGTTAGGATAAAAGAGGAGGGCATTGTTCAACGTGTTGGGGGAGGAATCTTGAGAAGAGGCTGAAGGGGTCCATCAGGGACACAACCCGGCCCTTCGCAGATCTGCATGTACTCTAACTACACTGTGAATCTGCAGAGACTTCTGACAGGCTGAACCCTGAGCCCTTCTGCCCTCCCATACAACCCCCGGGCTTCACTGCATCACTGGGCAGATGGATTTCCCCTTGGGGGGCTTCAGGTGGGGGGAGGAGACCAGGGGCCACAGCAGTGACCAGAACTCGGCTTGGCCCTGTGCGGTAGCACCTGATCCAGCGTGAGGCTCCCCCTGGAGAAGAGGAGCAGAGAGCTCCCGCGAGAAGGCAGCTTCTCTCTGCTGCCTCTCCCCTCCTGGGCCGCCTCTGCCCCACCCCAGGCGAGTGAACTTCCTCATTCCAAGGCCAGTGGCTCAATCTACAGACAGATATTCCAGGTGCCTTTTTCACCCCCACCAGAGACTCCTCCCCTCCGTTTTCTTTGTCTTTTCATCATTCAAGTAATCAACAACTCTCCCAGTAGCCCGTGATGGGATCTAACCAGGAACCCCTGGGAGGGAAGCCTGGCTGAAAACTTACCTGGATTTGCTGAATTCTTCCAGGTCCATTTTCCTCTGTATATGGGGGAATTTCCAAGCCTGGGCACATAACTGCTGCCCCGTGACCATAATAATCTTATAAGAAAGTTCCTGGTTCTTTCTTTCAGCCAAACTCAACTCTCACCCTGATGAGTCTTGGAGGCTAGTTTCATTAATTTAACAAACAGATATGGGGCACCTATTATATGCCAGTGTTCTAGGCATTTGGAATACATTAGTCTTGCCACTGGGTTTCAGCCCCAGGCAAGTTCACTATGAATTCAATGAGTCCGAGGAATGACAACCTGACGTTCTTGGGGTGAAAGGGTTTATACCCAAATTTATTCCCACAGTGGCAGGTCAGTCACTAAATCCCATCCACTCAGAGTGAGCCTGCAGGCAGCAAGCCAGTCTCTGCCCCTGGGCCTCTCTGCCCCTTCAGCTGGCTCAGTCTCTGTCCTCCGTGCTGCCGCCACTCCAGTCTCTGCTCTCCTGCAGCCGTGTACCTGTGCCACCATGTCGCCCAGAGCACCGGGAGGAGCTCTTCATATAGAGTCAATAACAACGTATTGCCCACATGTGTGTAGTGAGCTAGGCAGCCAGGGCCAGGTGAAAATCCTGGCCACAGGAACCTTCACTTTATCCATAATCACTAAGACAGATCTCTGCCCTCATGAGACTAACTTCCTTGTGAAGAGAGATGGCAATGATAAACATAATACTTAAGTGAATTATATAGGGATCAGTACCATAGGAAAAGGAAGAAAAAAAAAACAGGTAAGAGGAACGTGGTATGTGGGGGAGAGCAGGGAGGTACAGGTTGCAGTATTAAATGGCGTGGCGAGGTTTGAGCAATGACTCAAACTGGTGAGAAAGTTAGCCGCGTGGATACCTAGGGAAAAGCACTCCAGGCA